TCCTCGGGGGGGGGGGGGGGGGGGTATGGATTCATTCCTAGTCAGGATAGTCACATTTGTAATCCCGGGTTGTTGGTCTTACCTTTGCTCCTTGATCTTACCTTGAGAACAAGCTCCTTGCAGTCCGGCTGGCCCCTATAGATGTGCTTGTATCGTTCCCAAAACAGATCGAGTGATTCTGGCCACACAAATTACAAATCCTATTCACAGGAACCTGCCGGACTGATTAGGGCATAAATATCCTCCGCCTTAAATCCCATGGATGGGATCCTGTCCACAACCAGTCTTCTGATAGGTGGAATCCCTCCTCCTTCCCACCTGACCTCTACCACGTTCTTGTGTGTAAAGGAAGAAGGTGCATTAGGCGACAGACCCACAACTGGCTCCATTCACAGCAACAGCAGGACTTTGTCCTGACGGAACCCTAGCATAACTCCTACCTGGAACAGCTGATGCTGACCCAGAATTTCCACATTCAAGCACATTTACCGGCTGCATAGAAACCTCCTGAGTTCAGGTTTGGCAGATTGCCCACTACCTCATACTCCCTGTTCCAGCCATGGTGTCCATCCACTGCTGCAGCCTTGCTGTCCATGCAGCACTCCCGCTCTGCAGCCTTGCTGTCCATGCAGCACTCCCGCTCTGCAGCCTTGCTGTCCATGCAGTCCCGCTCTGCAGCCTTGCTGTCCATGCAGCACTCCTGCTCTGCAGCCTTGCTGTCCATGCAGCACTCCTGCTCTGCAGCCTTGCTGTCCATGCAGCACTCCTGCTCTGCAGCCATGGTGTCCATGCAGCACTCCTGCTCTGCAGCCATGGTGTCCATGCAGCACTCCTGCTCTGCAGCCTTGCTGTCCATGCAGCACTCCTGCTCTGCAGCCTTGCTGTCCACGCAGCACTCCTGTTCTGTGTTTCCACAGCCAGTGGGAAAATCTGTACCTGGATTCCCTCCATTTCCTTCTGCATTTTTTGCCGATTGCAAGGATTTGGCAACCGATGCAATCTTTTCCTCTACAGTAGCAATCACAGGAACGTCCTGCACACACACTGCACTCCCTCTCCAGCACTTACTGAAACCATTCCAGCATGTCCTCCATCAGCAGACACTGTGGCACTGCCGCCATTTTGAATCCTAACAAAACTCTGCTTTTCCTAGACTCTCTCTTAAAGGCCCTAGGACGATACCCTCCCCATCTTCTTCTTTGTTTACAAACGTTTTTATTTTTGCAAGGATAAACAGCAAAATACAGTATGTGCAGACAGTACACAGAACAGAGATAAAGCACTTACATAAAAGTACGATACTCACAAGTATAGTAATGCAGGAAACTTTAGATAGAGAAAATGAAAAGCATTTGTAAGTACATGAAAATCAATTGACAAAATAGGTTGAGAGATACAACTGGCAACAGTATATGTCAATCAACCTTCACATGACAGATTCCATCGTGTAGTATATGTCTATAAGTCTTCCATGATTCCCATTATCAAACAAATGCATTTTATCCAACAAAATATAGTGAATCCGCTCCATAAGCATCACAGCATCAACTCTGTGCAAAACAGATGGCAGGGGTACAGAATCGGATTTCCAGTTCAAAGCAATAGCCCATAAAGTAGCGATACAAATGGTATGTATCAATCATATCAGCAGTAGAGACCCCAGGGATAGGAGCACCCAGAAGACAAATCTGTAAAGACAAAGTAAGTGGAGAGCCCACCAGTGAGGTAGCCACCTCAGATATCTTACGTCAAACCGAAGAGACGGTTGGGCAGTCCCAACAAGTATGTACCAAGGTGCCTGTATGGCCACAACCCCTGAAACATAAGGGAGATGTCTGTGGGAACAACACATGCAATCTAGATGGAGTATAATACCATCTTGTGAGAACCTTAAGGGCCGTCTCACGTACAGAAATGGATCTAGAACACTTACAGATGTTATCCACCATAGAATCCCAGTCCTCCTCTGAAAAACAAACACCACTATCCTCTTCCCATTTTCGTCTATACAAGAGGGGCGTAGAAGAGTAACAGAGCAAAAATTGGTGATAGAAGTCAGAGATAAGACCCTTACCCCCTAGGAGAGTCACGGCAGACACGGTCAAAAAATGAAATCGGGGAAGAGGGTGTAAGGCCAAAATGTGAGTTAAAAAAATGTCTGATCTGTCGATTAATGATGGTATTCCCGGAGAGGAACATCAAAAAGCCCACGTAACATATCAATGGTGATAAAAGATCCTCCCCTCTGAAAATCTGATAATCTAATAAAAGATCTGTCATACCACCAGCGAAAAGCCTGAGGAGCAGAGAAAGCAGTGATAAATGTTGGGTCTCCAAAGAATGAGATACCTGAAGGGACAGATGAGACTAAATTAAATTTCAGTTTACATTTGGACCAAAGCATCAATGAGAGGGTTACTATAGAGTTATGAAAAGTGAGCGATCGGGGGAAAGCTTAGACCACAATATGCCCGGTAAATAATTGACTGAGATTCAAACTTGACCCACGGGATCTGGAAGTTAACAGTTGCCGATTGAGATAATTGTGCAAAATGGGCCAAGAGATAGTATAACCAAAAATTAGGAAGGCCAAGACCACCTGTTCGTTGGGAGCAGTACAAAATGGAGAAGGCAAAACGTGGGCGCCTATTACTCCAAATGAAGGTGCTAATAGTCCGCTGAAAGTGATCCAAAAAATGTTTTTGGGACTGGGAGTGCTCTAAAAAGATAAAGTAACTTGAGTAGAATATTCATTTTGACCGCCGTGACTCTACCCAGAAAAGAAATAGGGTAACCATGCCAAATTTTTAGTAAAGTGGAAAGACGTGATACACATGGAGGATAGTTAGCAGCAAACACATCTGAGTATTTAGGAGTGAGATTGATACCCAAATAGAAAATCCGGTCAGTAACCCAACGAAACAGGAAGGAGCTACGGAGAGATGCACTTGGGGAATCAGGAACTCCAACAGGCATAATCACCGATTTAGCAAAATTAACAGTAAGACCCGAGACTATAGCAAAATCATTCAAAACGGCACATAAATTTGTCAATGAGGTTAATGGGTTGGTAAGAGAGCATAACATCGTCAGCATGCATGCATATCTTGAAGGTTGAAACTAACAATGGGTAGCCAGAAATATCCGGATGTGACCTAATTGCTATAGCTAAAGGTTCCAACACCAGCGCAAATAGAAGGGGGGAAAGAGGACAACCTTGACGGGTGCCTCTACCCAGTGTAAAAAAATCAGAATTACAGCCAGGAAGCCTTATTCTAGTTTTAGGGGAGTCATAAAGAGCATGAATACCAGCTAAAAACTCATCGCTGAAGCCCATCTTTTGTAGCAAGGAAAACAAGGCCAAAGAAACTGTCAAAGGCCTTGTTAATATCCAGACTCATCAATAAAACCTCTTTAGAATGTAAATTGGCATCTTGTATTACATTTAAAGTGAGGCGTATATTATCGTAATAAACCTGTCTGGAATAAATCCTGATTGGTCCGGAGAAACCAAAGAGGAGATAATTGGGGCAAGCCTGTCTGCCAAAATACGACTAAATAATTTCAGATCATTGTTTATTACAGAAATGGGCCCTCCTCATCCTCTTCATCTGACAAGTCGGTGGAAAACCAATACTTTCTGCCACTCCAGGAAGATTCCATTTCCTCAATAGCTTGCATTAATCCTCCATTTTCCTCATGCTCCTCCTGAAATGACCCAGACTGCTGGGGAGGGAGGCAGATACTGACTTTAATGCGACACATCCTGAGACAGGGATCACCACTTGGAACCAATACCCCCATCCATACTGCTGTCGTTGTCCTGGTACCCACCCTCTGGCTGGTATTTGCACAGAAACGTTTCTTCATCTGCTGGAACCTTTCCTATATTTTTTTTTTTTTAACATACCGCTGTTTTCTTTCAGAGGCAACCAGCATTTCCTGCATCCGTTAGAGACTTCAGCTTGGAGTCTTGCCTCTTACTGCTCCAGGTCTTGTCATGCAGAGTTTTCTTCTTCTTGAATTCAGCTTTCAGCACCACAAGCTACTGTTCCTCCTTAGCTATACGGCAAAGTTATTCACCACTCTGTCCTGGAAAGCTGGTAAGGACTTGCCCTGCATAGGGCCAAGTCCAGGGTCCATCGCAGCTTGAGCATGTGGCATAGGCCTCAGTCCCTCTGGAGAGTCCCCCCACCTTCATCCTCCCTATCCTGCTGCATCATGGCTGGGGAAAAGGCTGTAGGAGAGCCCCAGACTTGTAGGCGGGTAGCCTTCTGTGTATTTAGTTAGCACCCAGCTGCCTAGGACAGGGGGAAAGGGGTAATGCTTTGACGCCTATCCCTGGTGTGTTTAAGAGCTTTTACTGGGGTCCAGTCTCCGTCCTGTGATATATAAAAGGGAATGGGTCAGGGACCTGTTGTGGAGAGTAGAAGCGAGTAAAAGAAAGTTGAAGCTTTGGGCCTCCAAGGTCTCTGTGGAACACTCAGAGAAACGTATGGGAATCACGCAACTAAAGACTAGCTGGGACCTCTGGTCTGCTTTGGAATGCCGACTTGCTGGGAGAACCCTGGAACATGGACTTGGAGTATTGCCAAGCATGGACTCTTCTCAAAAAACTCCACCTGTGAAGGTAACCTGGGGCAGCCACAGTTAGGTTCAGTTGGGGAAGGATGTTATTGCATGTTATACATGTTTTACCAAATTCATAGTAAAAGGTGATTCTACTGCTTAGAGCCCGGTCTGAAATTATGCAAGTGGGTGCATGCAAGGTCCTGGCGTATTACTAAAGAAAGAGGGTTCATGGCCACAGCAGAGGTTTATGAGTAATTGCAAGACAGAAATTGTTGGTGGTAGTTTCAACTACCACCTCTATGCCGATGACACACAAATCTATCTCTCAACCCCCCACCTCACCCCCTCAGTCTCCGCCCCCCACCTCACCCCCTCGGTCTCCGCCCGAATCACACACCTACTGAGCGACATATCAGACTGGATGTCGCTCCACTTCCTTAAACTGAACCTCTCCAAAACCGAGTTTCTTGTCTTCCCCCCAGCCCGCACACCCCCCCCATTGACTTCTCCATCACATCCAACAACGCTACTATCAAACCCGCCCCGCAGGCCAGAGTACTGGTGTCATTCTGGACTCCAACCTATCCTTCCAGCCCCAAGTCCAATCTTTAACAAACTCGTGCAGACTCCATGTCCGCAACATCGCCAAAATTCGCACGTTCCTAACCCCAGAAACCACTAAACAACTCATCCCCTCCCTCATCATATCACGACTCGACTACTGCAACTCCCTCCTCACTGGCCTGCCTCTCCGCTGGCTATCCCCGCTTCAGTCCATCCTGAATACGGCTGCCAGACTCATTCACCTTTCCAACCGCTCCATCTCCGCCACCCCCCTCTGCCAATCCCTCCACTGGCCTCCATTCAGTGTCTTCCACCCCCCTCGCCAATCCCTCCACTGGCCTCCATTCAGTGTCCTCCACCCCCCCTCTGCCAATCCCTCCACTGGCCTCCACTCAGTGTCCTCCACCCCTCTCTGCCAATCCCTCCACTGGCCTCCATTCAGTGTCCTCCACCCCCCTCTGCCAATCCCTCCACTGGCCTCCACTCAGTGTCCTCCACCCCCCTCTGCCAATCCCTCCACTGGCCTCCACTCAGTGTCCTCCACCCCTCTCTGCCAATCCCTCCACTGGCCTCCATTCAGTGTCCTCCACCCCCCTCTGCCAATCCCTCCACTGGCCTCCACTCAGTGTCCTCCACCCCCCTCTGCCAATCCCTCCACTGGCTTCCGATTGCGCAACGGATCAAATTCAAAATCCTAACACTGACGTACAAAGCCGTCCACCATACTGCCCCGAACTACATCACTGACCTAATATCCAAGTACCACCCAGCACGCACACTCCGCTCCTCACAAGACCTCCTTCTCTCTAGTTCCCTGGTCTCCTCCTCCCATGCCCACCTCCAGGACTTCTCCAGGGTGTCACCCATCCTCTGGAACTCCCTGCCCCAACCCATCAGATTATCACCTACTCTCCTCTCCTTTAGGCGCACCCTGAAAAACCATCTCTTCAGGGAAGCCTACCCCACCCCCTGCTAACTTGCCGACCTCCTCCACTCCTCCTACCACTCCATCCCCCACAGCTATCTCCTCCTGTACCCCATCCCCTCCCTCCTAGATTGTAAGCTCCAAGGATCAGGGCCCTCAATCCCCTCATGTATTGTATTGGTATTGTTCTGTCACATGTTCTGTCCCCCTCTGTAATGTACAGTGCTGAGCCAACTATTGGCGCTTTATAAATACTGTATAATAATGTATAATACATAAGGGGGATATGATCTCCATGTATAATACATAAGGGGGGGATATGATCTCCATGTATAATACATAAGGGGGGATATGATCTCCATGTATAATACATAAGGGGGGATATGATCTCCATGTATAATACATAAGGGGGATATGATCTCCATGTATAATACATAAGGGGGGATATGATCTCCATGTATAATACATAAGGGGGGATATGATCTCCATGTATAATACATAAGGGGGGATATGATCTCCATGTATAATACATAAGGGGGGATATGATCTCCATGTATAATACATAAGGGGGGGGATATGATCTCCATGTATAATACATAAGGGGGGATATGATCTCCATGTATAATACATAAGGGGGGGGGGGATATGATCTCCATGTATAATATATAATGGGGGATATGATCTCCATGTTTAATACATAAGGGGGGGATATGATCTCCATGTATAATACATAAGGGGGGGATATGATCTCCATGTATAATACATAAGGGGGGATATGATCACCATGTATAATACATAAGGGGGGATATGATCACCATGTATAATACATAAGGGGGGATATGATCTCCATGTATAATACATAAGGGGGGATATGATCTCCATGTATAATACATAAGGGGGGGGAAATGATCTCCATGTATAATACATAAGGGGGGGGGGATATGATCTCCATGTATAATACATAAAGGGGGGATATGATCTCCATGTATAATACATAAGGGGGGATATGATCTCCATGTATAATACATAAGGGGGGATATGATCTCCATGTATAATACATAAGGGGGGATATGATCTCCATGTATAATACATAAGGGGGGATATGATCTCCATGTATAATACATAAGGGGGGGGGGATATGATCTCCATGTATAATACATAAGGGGGGTATGATCTCCATGTATAATACATAAGGGGGGATATGATCTCCATGTATAATACATAAGGGGGGATATGATCTCCATGTATAATACATAAGGGGGGATATGATCTCCATGTATAATACATAATAAGGGGGGGATATGATCTCCATGTATAATACATAAGGGGGGATATGATCTCCATGTATAATACATAAGGGGGGATATGATCTCCATGTATAATACATAAGGGGGGGATATGATCTCCATGTATAATACATAAGGGGGGGGGGATATGATCTCCATGTAGTGGTTCATATAGTGAACTCGGTGTAGTTATTCCCCCTGAGGTCATCACAGAGGACAAGGGGGCGCTCTTTACATCTGGAGGAAAAGAAATGTAATCTCCAATCACAGAAAGATTTCTTCACAGTAAGAGCTGTGAGAATGTGGAATAGACTCCCTCCAGAGTTGGTTGTGGCCAGCTCAGTGGATTGCTGTAGGAAAGTCCTGGATCCTTTCTTGGATACACAGAATATAACTGGATAGAACATTTATAGGGAACGTTGATCCCGGGAATATCCGATTGCCTCTCGGGGGGTCAGGAAGGAATTTTTCCCCTGCAGGAGGAGATTGGATCATGCTTTTTGCTGGGTTTTTCCTTCCTCTGGATCAGCTGTGGGTGTAGGACTACTAACTTTTTTTTTTTTTTTTTTAATGTTTGAACTGGATGGACTTTTATCTTTTTTTAGCCAGACTAACTATGTAACTATATGTGACTGGCTCAGTGTTCCCTTGTTCCCTGTACAGCGCTGCGGTATATGTCAGAGCTATATAAATGTATAGTAATTTTGTGTGACTGTGGGGGACGGGACATTAGAGTGCAAGCTCCTCTGGTGCTCATAGGTAGTTCCCTGAAGTCAGTGATCTGGGAGGGTTCCGTGTTGCCCCATTGATGACAGTTGTAGTGTTTTATTGGTGTTCTTTATGGTGGTTCCGGTGGCAGCATCTTTCTGGTTGCTATGGTAACAGGAACTCCGGTCTTTATGCGTCGTTTGCTTCTCTGTTTGCATTGAAAATGGTTTCATTTCTCTGACATAACGGAGTTCTTTCTTATATTTATTCCCTTAAGTGAGGATCTTCTCAATTCATCTCCTCCAGGATCACACCGATCTCCTCCCCATATCTGTCCATCTCTCTACACAATTATATGATTCAGACAGACAGGATTGGCCGGACCAAGAAGTGTGACATGGTAATGGCAATTCCCGAAATGTTCACAGGTTACAAAGGGGATAGGAGGGGGGTCCGGGGACATTCTAGGGGGGAGGGGATAGGAGGGGGGTCCAGTGACATCAGGGAAAGGGGATGATATAAAGGGAATAGGAGGCGAGTCCGGGGACATTATCGGGGGGGAGGGGATAATATAAAGGGGATAGGAGGGGGGTCAGGGGACATTTATGGGGGGGGATAATATAAAGGGGAAAAGAGGTGAGCACAAAAACATAAACATGGGGTAGGGGATAAGAAATGAGTCCAGGTAGTGAAGTCCACAATCTCTCCTCAGTCTGGGGCATGCTGTCACATAATGTGCGGCTAATTTCACGGTTGGCTCCTCTTCTCCCAGTGGAATGTGGAGTTTCCCCTTTTGCTGTATAGAAGTGAAGTCTGGAATGAGAGCGGGGAATCTCTGGGAGTCCCTCTCAGGCTCATCCTTCAGGGCTCCTTGTTCACCCCCCACTGACAGTCTACATTTTCCAGGACCGTAGTACTTCTATGCCTCCCCAATTGGATAAGGTGTTGGGAGTGTTGGGCAGAGAGAGGGTACTAATAGTTTGTTGGAAGTGTTGGGGAGAAGGGGTGTTGATTGGTTGTTGGTACAATTGGGTTTACAGGCTGCTGATGGCTCATTTGATGGATGGCGGGGTGATGGGTTGTTAGAAGTGTTTAGTGCAGAGGGTGCTATTGAGTTGTTGGGAGTTTTTGGATAGATGGGAGTGCTGGTGGGCTGTTGAATGTGTTGGGTGGACAGGGTGCTATTGATTTTTGGGAGTGTTGGATTGAGTTGCTACAAGGTTGTTAGGACTGTTGGATGGACAAAGGGCTAATTAGTTTGTTGACAATGTGGAATGGATGGGATGCTAATGGTTTGTTGGTAGTGTTTGATGTATGGGTTGTTGGATTGTTGGGAGTGTCAAGCTGATGGGTTGTTTGGATTTCTTAAATTATGTGGTGCTGATAGGTTGTTGGAAGTGTGGAATTGATGGGGTATTGATGGGTTGTTGGATGGATGGGGTGCTGATGGGGTGTTTGGTGGATGGGTTGCAGACGGGTTGTTGGGAGTGTTGGATGGATGGGTTGTTGGGAGTGTTGGATGGATGGGGTGCTGATGGGTTGTTGGGAGTGTTGGATGGATGGGGTGCTGATGGGGTGTTTGGATGGGGTGCTGATGGGTTGTCGGGAGTGTTGGATGGATGGGGTGCTGATGGGGTGTTTGGTGGATGGGGTGCTGACGGGTTGTTGGGAGTGTTGGATGGATGGGTTGTTGGGAGTGTTGGATGGATGGGGTGCTGATGGGGTGTTTTGGTGGATGGGGTGCTGATGAGTTGTTGGATGTATGCGGTATTGATAGGTTGCTGGCAGTGGTGAAAGAAAGGGATGTTGAGGTGTTGTAGATATTTTTGGGTAGACAGAGTTCTGAGATGATTTATATATTTGTAGTTGTTTTATTATAAAGGAGGGTTTTTTGGATTGCTTTAGAAAACACTTGTCCCTTATTCAGTCTCTTCCCCCACCCGCATTTCTTTCCTTCCTCTCTCATTTCTTCCATCTTCTCCTTTTCTTCTGTCTCTCTTCCTCTTAACTCCTTTTTTATACCCTCATCACGTACAGAGGGGAAAATGATTTGATCCCCTGCAGATTAGGTGTAAGTTTGTCCACTTACAAAGAAATGAAGGGTCCATAATTTTTATCATAGATGTATTTTAAATGAAAGAGACAGAATATCAACCCAAAATCCAGAAAAAACACACTACAATTGTTATAAATGGAGTTGCAGTTCAGTGAGTAAAATAAGTATTTGATCACCTTCCAACCAACAATGAACTACACAGGAGCAGCTTGTGAATGATCTCAAGGTAGTTGGGACCACAGTCATGAAACAAACAATTGGTAACACAATATGCCACCATGGATCCTGCAGTGCCCGCAAGGCCCCATCCTCAAGGCACATGTGCAGGCCCGTCTGAAGTTTGCCACTGAACATCTAAATGTTTCAGAGAAGAATTGGGAGCAAGTGCTGTGGTCAGATGAGACCAAAATT